TGGTACGTCACTTCATATAAAAATGCTCTTGAACGTGCCTCTCTTTTGGCACTTTTCGGTGGGATTTTTTGTGGGGGGGGGGGGTGGAGGGAGAGAGGGAGAGGTTGACATTCTTAAATGTTGAACTACTTGTACAAATGAGGAAGATGCATTTTTGTATTAATCTGAGGAATCAATCTTTGATTTGTTAAGCTTGTGTCCTGATTCATACTAAGAATAATTATGTATGACATTTGTAAGGCGCCAAATCCATCTCCATTATGAGCCAGCCTAGTACACTCTTGCAGTGTCGTTCCACTCCAGGCCTTTATGTTCTCCTCCCAGTTAGTTCTTGGCTTCTCTCTCGGTCTATTACCTTCTACATTCCATTCTAACAAATCTGTCAAGAAACCCTGATGTCTTTTGAAATGACAAAAAGATTTTGCCTTTATTTGTTGTTTGGATTTATGTAATTTAGAGGTGAAAAAGTAGACATAATTTTTCAGTAATTATAATATTCCTTTAAAAATAAACATTATAAACTTCAAACGCAGGTGTCAAACGACTCACTCCCATATAAATGTAGCCATATGTGACTTGTTTGGTAGATTTGTTTGTTGTTTTTGTTACTTTGTATCATCTCTGCTTTCGTTTCCAATTCCACAATAACCCAGAGAGTGTTCCAAGAGTCAAAAGAGCAGGCCGAGATATAGTCCATGTGTTTACCACAATCAGAGCTACCAATCACGGGTATCCCCTGTAAATCCAACGCTGATGTAGGTCCAAATTTTTCTCTGGCGAAAACTAACAATTTTTTTTGATATCATTCATATCCCTTCTCTCTCCTTCTCCCTCTCTCTCTCTCTCTTCTCTCTCTCTCTCTTTCCCTCTCTTTCTCTCTCTCTCTCTCTCTCTCTCACTCTCTCCCACCGCACACAATTACTTGAATAAAAAAGGGGAAGATAAAGAGAAAAAATAAGAAAAATTCACCTCCAGTTCTCCAAGTTCAAGCCTTAAGTGGGAATTAATGGACACTGACATGGAGCATGTGTGTTGACCTCGCGACCTCTACCCATCAAGGCGCCAAGGGCCTTAATCCTGGGCTCAGCGGAACCAGTCTTGGATACCAGTCTTTCTTCTTTTGGTATTTTTCTGAGATACTAGACTAATTATTTCGGTTTTGCTTGTAGCAAGTAAGGATTTATTGAATAAATAATGATAAAAAGTAGCTACACATTTACATTTATATTCTACATACAAATATATATTTGTATAATAATAATGATATTTAGCTTTTATATAGTGCTTAATACATTTAGGACGTCTCTAAGGGCTTTACAGATATACTATTACCCCAGTCATTGGATTCAGTGTTTGCCCACACACATTGTGTGCACAATCCCCACTCCCTGGGGAGCATTCCTGCAAGGCGTTACTCGGATTTCAAGTTGCATACAAAGTATTTCTCTTGACCTAGCTCACCCAAGTATCCATATATTACACCTGGGTTGAGGGTGGCGAATTTAGATTGATGTCTTACCAAAGGACATCAGTACAGCTGCTAAAACTAGATTATGACTATCACAGGTTTGGCAAACAAGTAATTAAGTATTCTAGTGTCATTTGTCTTGCATCTGACGTAATAGTACAATTGTGTTTAAAAAATGGAACTAGAAAATAAGAGGGAAGTTTGCTTTGCCGGTGCTTCAAACTTTTCAAAGGACTCAACAGTGTCTGAACACAGAGACTACTATAGCAGTGAAGTTGAGTCTAATGTAGCACTGGACTTGACTGCATGTGGCAAGGTCATGACTGGGGTCGAGGGGAGAAAAGGCAAAGCCCCCAAGGTAATGATGTCTTCCCAGCCACCATACACATTGGTTGCCCTCACCTGACACTGTTCTTGGAGGAGAGGGAGGGGTGAGGGTGGGGCGGTAAGAGGGGGGCATGGAGGTTGGGGGAGGGGGAGGGGGAGGAGGTGAGTAATGATGAGGATGAAACATTGTGGAAGCTGGGACAAGGGAAAGGAATCTTCTTATGATTATGGTAATTATGTCTTCGCAGCCATTATACATTAGATGCTTTCTAATGAAATTGTTCATGGAGGAGAAGTGTGAGGGTGGGGCAGAGAGAAGGGGGAGGGGTAGGGAGAAAGGAGGTGTATTGTGATGGGGCAACATTATGAATATGGTGTAAGGGAAAGGAACCAGATTTTTTTCCTCCTGATTGTTCCAGATTGGGAAGGGGTTATCTGTCTCTCATTCCGACTTTCCTATACAATGTACATGCCTCAGTCTCTCCATATCTATTTCACACTGCCTAACTTGTATTACACCCTTTTTTCTTGCTCTGCTTTCTTCCATCTTCCCTCCCTTCTCCTCTCCCTCTCACTTTCCTTGTTTCCCTCTCTTTATCATTGTCACTTCTCTCCCCCTCCCTCTCTCTTCCTCCCTCTCTCTCTCTCTCTCTCTCTCTCCTTCCCTCCCTCCCCCTCTTGCTCTCTCGCTCTTAGCACCTGACCCAAATCTTTCCTCACAATACTCGCATACACGCCTATGCTCCTCCAAGTCCAAGACCAAAATAGAAAGAGAAGAAACAACAACAGATGCACAAGTGTGCCTCCATACCATAGCAAAACATCAGAGCGAATCTAAATATACACACATTAGAAATTGGTAGACAAATAGAAATGCAGTGGAAACCTGAGTCCTCCAGTAACAAGTTTTAGGGGGTTGGGAAGAGAAGAAAGAGGAGGAGAAAGAGGAGGAGAAAGAGGAGGAGGGAAAGGAGTGATGCTATAGTGATTGGTTACTAAGGTGGGATGTGATATGACGAGTGGGAGTGAGAAAGAGAGACAGGAGGAGAGCGAGATGGAGGAAAAAAGAGACGGCATGACCTTTTAGGAGTTGAGATCACTAAGGTGGTGAGGTTTGTTTTTCTATTGCTGTTGGAGAATTGGGGCTGATTTTGGAGAGAATGTGCGGCGGAGATCTGTGGGGAATTCACCGCCGCCGCCACCGCCGATCGACTTTGGGTCGTGCTATTGTGTCTTGTGTCGGCAGAATCCGAAGCTGGGAGAAAAATGGTGTGCGTGCTGTATGATCAGTGTGGTGCAGGAAGCAAAGTGAATGGGGATAGTCTTTGCTCATGTGTAGAACCTGTTTATAATAATGATAAATGTATGTTACATTCATGGGAACATAAGAATCATCAGATAGAAGGAGTACCATGCACTTGTCTTGTTTTCCTTCTTTTTTGTCTCCATACTGTCTCCAGGTGACATGTTGTATGACTTTGTAGAATCTTGAATCGTAGTTTAATTGTGTACATTATGGTAGCACCTATCCAAATGTATGAAATCTTTCCATCAATATTTGTTTGTGGAGATGAAGTGCTTTCTGGTTTTGGTCTATAGTTCTGTGTCTTCTGTAACTATTCTGTGAGATGGTTCATACCCAGGTGGAAGAGAGGAAAACATGAGGAAGAAAAAGAAGGGACTTGGAAGCAAGTCTAGGAAAGCGACTATGAGGATTAACAATGGTATGATGATGTTGATGATGATGATGATGGTGATGAAGATGAAGATGATGGTGTTGAAGATGATGATAATGGTGATTATCATGATGATGACGATGGTGCTTATGATGGTGATGGCAATGATAATGGAGATATTGATAGATAAGATGTAATGGTGATGTTTTTGATTATGATTTATAATGATGATGGTGATAATAGTGATGGGGATGATGATGTTAATGATGATGATGATGGTGATGATGATTTTTATTGAGGTGACGAAACATTGAAGAAAGGGAAAATTGTGTTTCCCATTAAAACATATAAGTACAACATAGGTGATTTCATTTTGTGATAGATGCAGTTACATACATTTTTAAATCCTAAGCATAATAACTTATCAAAAAGGATGGAAGGAGAATAAACCATGGAGATATAGAAGTCATAGAAGGGCCGGTCATTCCCCTCGGTTCTCTAAATATTGATTTCTACGTATAAGATATGAGATAACTGAATCCCTTATCAGTCACTATCTATTCTACTCCAAACAGATAATCAATGGGGCCGGCTTAGACAAACAAACTAATTTTGAAATTAAACTACAGCCACAACGAAGAAAATTTCCTTTGAACCCCAAAGAGAAACTGTGCCAGTCTTGTGGAAATATCATCTCTGAATGCCACATGAATATTCTGACCTGCGGCCAGTGGGAAACAATTGATTTGTTATCCAAGGACTACTCGTGTACTTGAAGCATAACTTGAATTGCAATTGGATGTATATTCTTTGACTCTGTGATTTATTAAAGGGATCGTTTAACAATGTTAAATCTGAGATACACGGCCCTACGTGTTAACAGTGTCTGTGATATGGTGTAATATTGAAGCTCTAAAAAAATTGCGCTTCAAAATGATTAAGAAGTGCCTCAAAAAAGTAAAAATCTTTGAGTGACCGGTTTTACCATACTCGTTTTCCCCAATAGACTGTAGTGTTATGAAAACCGTCAGGCGAACGGTTTTCAAAATTTGTAATTCCAATCATAAATATCAAGATAATCAGACAGGCGATCGGCTTGTAAAAGTCATGGGGTTCCTGACTGATCTAAAGGTTTATAATTATCATTGCATCATGAGCTAAATCCAGAATTTTTTGTCAGAATCTGAGACAAAGTTACCGGATCCCTTTAACAGGTTGACTACTGAAGTCTCTAATTCCCATAGGCTTAATACATGGACAACTTGGTTCTAGTGTGCAATGGGTTAAGATGTCATCAGTTTAGAGCCAGGAGGACATTAACTCATTATAAGATTTTTTAGGATCATCTACTTATAAGTTTCTGTAACTTTTTTGATGATCCAACCACTTCGTAATTTCCTTTAGTGAATTTTCCATTTTACTGGCTTATCTATGTTTGCAAGAAATATGTTTTTGTATTCTTTGCCTTTATATGTTTTTATGAAATTGGTTAATAAATTTAATTCAATTCAAGGATGATATGAGTTAAAGTGTGTTGGGCTCCAAGAAGAGGATGTGTAAATTGAGTTGTTCTGTTATCTCATCAATGCCTAACACATCAATATAGGGAATGAAAATATATTATTGATCACCTTATTCTAAATATTGCATCTCTTTTTCTCTTTCTCTCCCTTTGCCTTCAGGTCCGTCTTGTATGATGACGACTGTCGTGTAGCCTGTTCTTCATCCACCTATCCAGTGCAATGGATGTGCACCTGCAGCTGGCAACGATTGTCTGGCTGCTAGCCACGTTTCTCACACTCTGGTGTGAACAGGCCCTTGCAGGTAAATCATATTTCCCCCCCCTCCCCCCCCCTCCCCCATTCCTCTCGCCCCTTCCCCGATTCTTCTCCCCCTTCCCATTGCAGACAAGGAAAACTCTTTACAACACTTTGAATGTAAAGTCTTTACAACGCTTTGAATATAAACTCTTCACAACGTTTTGAATGTAAACTCTTCACAGCGTTTTGAATGTAAACTCTTTATCACGTTTCAAATGTAAAATCTTTACAAGCTTTTAGATGTAAACTCTCTACAACGTGTTGAATGTAAACTCTTTTCAACGTTTTGAATGTAAACTCTCTACAACGTTATGAATGTAAACTCTTTAAAACGTTGTGAATGTAAAGTCTTTACAATGTTTTTAATGTAAACTCTTTACAACGTTTTGAATGTAAACTCTTTACAACGTTTTGAATGTAAACTCTCCGCAACGTTTTGAATGTGAACTCTTAACAACCTTTTGAATGTAAACTCTTTACAATGTTTTGAATGTAAACTCTCTTCAATGTTATGAATGTAAACTCTTTAAAACGTTGTGAATGTAAAGTCTTTACAATGTTTTTAATGTAAACTCTCTACAACGTTTTGAATGTAAACTCTCTGCAACGTTTTGAATGTAAACTCTTTAAAACGTTGTGAATGTAAAGTCTTTGCAACGTTTTGAATGTAAACTCTCTACAACGTTTTGAATGTAAACTCTCTGCAACGTTTTGAATGTAAACTCTTTACAACCATTTGAATGTAAACTCTTTACAATGTTTTGAATGTAAATTCTTTATTTTGAATGTTAACTTCATATCAGCCAAACACTATTAGTGAATGATTGAATGAACCCTAGATTCCTCTCACTTTCTGCAATCCCCCCTATGATAGCGTCCGTAACAAAATGCATTTCTTTGGTGCAATGAGATATTCCTAATTTCTGCTGTGGAAGGTTGGCAGATAATTAAGGTACCTTCGCAAAATTTCTAAAAGAAGGGGTTGGGACTTGGGAGCTTAGCCAAATGTAGTTGCACAAAAGATGGGTCAGGAATGCAAACTGGATAATTTTTGAAATTCATAATGTTATCACACAGAGGTAGAACCACATCGTTGGGATATGAAGCTGTACAAAGCATATACCATCTTAATGAGGCTTATTGTTAGCTAAACTTACATTCAGATATGTCAAAAAAAGAACTTTGAAATAACAAACATCACCAACTATCATATATTTTGAATTCCGGACGCATCAATCTTTTCGTTCAAATACATTTAGCTAATAAAGCTCCTAACCCCTCCTTTTTTTAAAAGAAATTGAGAGGGCAAGGTTGGTGCCTTACGGCATGCCATAGGACCCTGTGGGGCTGGCACGAAATGCCATTGTTGACTTCCCTCTTTCCTTGTCTGTGACATTCCATTGTCATTTTAGTTAGTCTGTGACGTGACAAGATATTGGCAATGTCGTCCATACATTGTAGAAAATGTTGATACGAAAGTCTTCTGGAAAGAAGTCGTTTGGATATAATTTTCTTACAAAAGTATGAATGAAATGTGCTCATCAACTTTGGAAGTAGTTGGTGTCTAAGCATTATACCTGAAATGCAACATATATTTATGAACAGGTATGGCTAGCTTGGCTCTCACCAAATATCCCAAAGTTGTAACAACCCTAAAGCACAAATATAGGACGGTTTTGTAGTAGGGAAATACAGCACATCTTTGACGTATGGACTACAAAAAACTTCTTTGTTTATAAACTTCTTTGTCTATAAACAAACCTATAATCATTTCTGTTGTTTTCTCTCAGTCTGCGGCAAGTTGTACCAAAAACCTGTCCTCCGAGAATAACTGATCATGTGCGCTTGGCTGTTCAAAGTGTATGATGCACAAAAGGAATAATCAATCACATTCTAATTTTTGGCACTCTCAGAATTAAACTCTCTTTCGCTCCAAGCCCGGAGCGAGATGGAGACGAGACGGCCCATTTATCTAGCTCCAGCCTGTCCCGCCCGATGGCTGTGATGATCTGCACACCTGTCGCGACACTTCCAACAATTCATAGGGACAGCTTGCTTGCATAGGAGATGCCCTGGCTCTCTTTGTTAGGGAAACTCTAGTTCAGAAACATGTTTGATAGAGAAATTGCTATTTGTAGGTCTGTGCTATCATTTACAGATGTGCAAGGGAAGGCAACTTTAAACAAAACTTTTTCTAACAGTGTTGCTTGCTGACAAGATGGTTAGTCCATGGACCCTACTACGAAGGTCCATGGTTAGTCTAATTGGTCAGGAAAGTCTAGTTTACAAATGAGTTTGATAGGAAAGCTGCCTTTTGTGGCTCTGTGTATAGTTACACTTAATCTGTGGAGGGAGGAGGGGTAGCCCATTTTGACCAAAGATTACAATTACAATTACAATAATGTCATTTCTATAGCGCTCTTACAAACTGACTGTTCTTTCACAGCGCTTTACATAAAATTATCAAAGAATCTATTGTTAATCATGGTCAGAGAGGAGAGTTTTGAGATATTTTTGGAAGTTATCCAGTGAAGGTGATAAACAAATTAAACGTGGAAGCTTATTCCAGAGTCGAGCAGCACATGTCTGGAGGTTGACTAAGGTTGACTTCTAGAACATTGAGGATAGAAACTGCTTGGAAGCTTTGGGGAATGGTTGATTTTGTAAGGATGGATGTCTACTTTGAGGTTTTAGAATCAAGACACTGAAGAGAAAGAGACTCCTCATGATAAACTGCACACAAAAATCTCTATATGGGATGGCACATAGATTGTGGCATTAAATTTGAAAAGCAGTCCTTTTTCAAGAGGCATTTCATCTATGATATTCTTCCAAAGTGACAAACAAAAGAATGATGAGGTCGGTTTTATTTTGTCTTTACCAGGGGGGCGTTTCACAAAACTTGTCATCAGTGACAGTTTTGTTATAAGCTACTGAAATCCTTGCTTCTGATTGGTTATCAGCAGATTCTTCACTGAATTTTGTCATTTGTCATTGAAAAAAGGCTTTGTGAAACAGGCACCAGAACTCATCCTTCGTAAAAAATTTGGTAAAAGTGCTAACAAAGTATGTGGGCTGTATGTGTGTTATCTGGGGGAGGGTTCTGAACTCCATTGAGTCATCAGTGGGCCTAGCTAGCATCAATTGCCTGGGCCCCCACTGTGAGAAAAATGCTCAGCCATTTTGGTTTTTGCTGGAGATTATAAGAAAGCTTCCCCATGCAGTAACCTTGTTTGTAACAGTGTCCTCTATTCATTAAATCCATTCTGTTAAAATTGAAGAACAGTAACATGGTCGGGAGACAAGCATTTGTTATAGGAGTTGGTGGGTCTTACCATTGGTACAACTCCATACTTGTAGTTAATTGACTAGTGTGTAATGTAGAACTCCAGACCTCTTGAAGCTGCATGGACCTACATAAAGTATATGACTGTAAATCCAATAAAACATAAAGAAATTGTGATAGTCCTAGACCACTTTTTCCTTGATTTTTCACTGAAATATTTTTTAAAAATTGTTTGTATTTTGGCAGAATAAAAAGACTTCCAAATTTTGACTTCTGCATGTATGTTCTCTCAGTTTTATACAATGGTAATTCTTTAATAAAGTGCTTGATTTGAATCGAGAGAAGTCTTGAGAAAACAAGATAACTCTCAGAGATTATGGTTGCCACACGGTGTTAAGAAAACAAACACAAAACACAACCCAAATCATCATAGAAACTTCAAACTGAACAAAGCACAATAATCTCGAGGAACTGCATAAACCTGCTACCCCATACATAATATAGTAATGCGCAGGCACGCAGGAGAAAGAGGAAAGAACCTGCTGCAGAGCAAGGCACCGCAATAAGAGCCATAGCTGTGGAGCAGGGGGTGCGGTTGGCGACCCCCTGCCTCCGGTATCTCATTACTGGGAGAGGGGAGAGAGGGCGAGAGAGTGGGCCAAATTTGCAACAGTATCCACGACCATGACTCTGACAGTGAGCCAGGCATGGTGCGAACTCCCCCGAAAATTGGGCGACTTCACACCCCTGGAATTTCTCACGATCTTGGGGATAATGGGTAACAGGTTTTGTGCCGCTGTGTTAGGCAAGGCAGCACCATCCTATGGTAGCTCTTTATAGTATTCAAAAACCAGTGCATTTCTTTCTTTTTGGTGGCATTTCTATGAATTATTAAATCATTCAAGATTCTAGTTAAAGCTAACCCTTTGCTTGCTGTGGGCACCAAATACAACCCAAGAATATAAGTGTGTTGAACAATGTAAAGCGGCTATTTGTTTCTTCCTGGCGGAGAAACAGACATCTTCATTGTGTAGTTTATTCTCATGGAAGATATATTTGGCAGGTTCAACTTTAAAGCAAAGCACTGTATGCCAAATGTAATACTTGAAATGACAATTATTTAAAAAGTTTGTTTCCCACAGGGGGTTATATTGCTGTAAGCGAATACCATTCTTTAATGTGGTGGCAGGAGTGGGATATGGAATGATTGCAGGAATGAAATATATCAAGCAGTTAATGATTACCTGTGGAAAGTCCATAAAAGGAGGTCTACAAATATATATTTCTTCCAGGAATCACCAGTTTTCTCTAGATAAATTGAAAATGAAAAGATCTGTGAATGAAAATTTCAACCGATAACTTGAAAGAGTATGGAATCTCATGTCAATAATATGTATGCTAGGAAAAGGATGAAGTTACTGGTGCACAACATTAAGATTTACAATTTGTGAATCCTAAAGCAAATATACAGATTTCATTATGGTACTAATTTACATACATGTTTATTTACGTTTGTAAATGAGAAATTTAGGATGATAATTATAAATCTAGAGAGTATTCCTTCAAAATACTAAGTAAAATTTTAAGGTAGCTTTATGACAAAGTAGGACAATTTAATGTAAGTTCAGTGAATGTGTTGCCAAACTTGTAACACATCCCATCACGATTGTGTGTTTAGTGTTAAAGAGCCGCCCTGTTGGATACCTATTAAAGCTTCATTGGGGCACGGAACGACCCCGCAAGTCTGGTTTGCGCCCTCCCGGCAGGCCCCGGCCGCTTCGACTGCACCAGCCGTGTCGTTTCTCCATTATGGAGCGCCGATTTTGATTTAATCAACGGAAAAACCAATAGTGTCGGAAAACGGTCGGGATGAAAGGGAGAGGAAATTTCTGCAAGCTTTTGACTGTTGGTGTCATGCAGGGTCGAGATAGGGGAGATGTAAATAATAGAACACACAAACTGTGTACTTTGGGAGTGATTATGGTGGTGATGATGATGATGAAGAAAGTGAGACTTTGGCTTTGAACTAGGCACAGTATGTAATGTATGGAGTTGCAGTATTAGGCTGTGGAACTTAAATCTTTGCATACAGCCTGCATGCACAAAGTATAAAAAAGAAAAGGATTTTCGTTTGGCATTTATTATTTCAGGGAGAAGGTTATCAGCTCATAAAGCTCATGATTTGAATATTTGTTTCGAAGCATGTTATGGGTATTTTTTATCACTTTATGCAATATATATTGGTAATAATCATGCATTTGTGTATCAGTATTGTTTATTTTGCTTCTCGTACAATATTGTGGTGAATCTTCAAAAGAACAGTATCTTTATTAGGTAGCTTATCAAAAAGGCCTGATAGTGATATTCGCTCATTAGAAGTTCTTTCATGACAAATCTGAATGTAAGTTTAGGTAACATTAAGCCTGATCGAGATACTAAATGTATTTACCTGCTCCATATCTTATCTGTGTGGGTCTAACTCTTTGTGATCAAATTATAATTCTAAAATTATGCATTTTACCTTCTGGACGTGTCCTTTTGTGCCACTACATTTTTCAAAGCTACGTTCATATTCCTTCTATCCATTTCTCCTGACTCTCATCTTATGATTCCTTTATCAAGTAGTCAATACCTTGTGATGCTGGAAAATGAAGCACTGAAAATATACGAGCATATCCATCTTAATAGTGTTTCTTTATGTGCAATTGTCATGTCCATGTGTGATATTTAGGATAACAATCTAAGACATCGATACCATGGCCAAGTAAGATTCTTATACTGCATTGTCCCAAAATGATAATCCATCTACCTGTTATGGTGTCATACATTTTATCATAATAATAATAATAATAATACATAACATTTATATAGCGCTTGTGACATAACATTTTCAAAGCTCTCTACACAAATCAAGATTACTTTAAGAAAAATCAATATTACTAACATAACTGAACAAATTAACATTTATAAAATTACCAAGAAGATCAAACATTACTAACATTTCTAAAGAAATAAACAAAATGTGTAAATTCCTGGAAAACAACAATTTAACAAAAGACATTCTTGTTATTATGTCTCCCTTTTTAGATGTTCCTCCGCAACTGAGGAGAGAGCCTACCTCAAAACCCGTCCGCCCTTTCAGCCGCGTCAAACTACGATGCAGCGCGCACCCCAAGGAAGCCACCATCACGTGGATGTTGGATGGTGTCACTATTATGGACTTTCCAAACATTGCCATCAATGGCGGCACGTTATTGATTAGAAACTTTGAAAGCGATGAAGGGAGTTTTTCCCACGTCGGGGACTACCAGTGTGTCGCGACTACGGGAGTAGGGAGTGTCGTCAGCAGGGTAGCGAGATTAGATGCAGCATGTAAGTAGATTTTTCATAGTTATTTATTTAATGTATTCACCTTCTCCCTAAGTCTTTGATGAATACTTGATGCTGTCTTTTAAATGTATATGTTCACAAAGTTATTTCATGGTATTGTTTCATTCAATACACTGTCCGTCTCCTTTCCTGGTGCTGTTGTCCACAGGAAGAAGGTACCCTGTAGTTTTATGGACTTTCATCTTTCTTGATCCGTGTATATTTAACAATTATTCATCTTTCAAGTAAAAAGGTATTTCTGGTGTTCTTTGAGTAATGGTAGACCATTGGAGACCCCTTTCTATCCAAGTGTCATGATGTTGGAAATACAGTAACAACTAAATTATTCATACTCTTACCAATTGTTTAACTGATGACATTGAAAACTTCCAGACATCTTATAATTTATTTGTTTCCTTCACTTTTCAGATATAAAGAAATTTACAGAGAAACCTCCTTCGGAAGTATTATCATGGCATGGAGAAGTTGGAGTTATACCTTGTACATTACCAGAAAGCAAACCACCCGCCAGGATGGAATACGGCTTCAAGAACAAATGGATAACTGAAAGCACAGGTGAGTCTTTGGACCGATACTGTTTGTCAACCAGTGGGAGATTTTAGGGACGATAACTGTTTGTTGATAAGTAATATCAGGGCCCAATCTTATAAAAAGTTGTGATTAATCTCAACTTATTTGCTATTTATATCAATCGCAACTATGTCCATAAGAGACAGGAGACTGCAAACTTGCGATTAATTGGAGGACTTGCTATTGATTTGGATCAATCACAATTCTTTATAAGACAGGGCCCTAGAATTTGTTCAAATACAGTGGTAGAAGGCCTGAAATTTGAAAAATTATGCAAGAGTATACATTGTAGTTATTTAGAGACACCTATCAATTTCTCACTGTACATTATAGAACACTAGGGCCTACAATTACATGGACATGTTATGTCTTTTTACGTACCAAAATGTGAAATTTGTGTTATTTGTCAACTGCTTTTGGCTATGATGATGATGAGCAGATGTGAAGACCATCAATCACAGATAAATCCTTTCTGATAATACATCTAGCATAGTTTTTAGTTTGACAAATCAACAAAGTGTCTTTTGACTTTTCATCCCAGAGTTGAGGTAGAATTTGATTTTCCTCAAATTTTGAATCTTGATTTTTGTTGAATATACCTAATAATACTATGATTTTTGTTATCATTATAAATATTTTCAATATCACTTGAAATTATTGATCATCAAGGAAAAAGATATATTAACAAATTAAATTACCCAATACAGTGAAACCTGTATATAAGGACGGCTCAAGGAAAACATGAGAAGTGGTCTCTATAGACAGGTGGTCTTTCTATACAGATGGTCACTGACTTTGACTGTATTACCTTTCCATTTTGCAGAACATTACAGGATAATGCCATCAGGAAACCTTCACATCCTCAACGTATCATCAAGTGATGCTGGATTCTACACCTGTTCAGCGGTCAACCCTACCACCAACAAGAGATTATCACCCAGGAACGGAACGTTATTAGAAGTTCGGCAAGGAGGTATGAAATATTTCTCTCTCTTTACCAAAACATATGAAGATGTGTGATGTATTCATTTGTAAATTAATAAGGGTTATCTAAATGGGAAAATTATATTGTGTATGAAGTCTATTCAATTCAATCCATAGTAACAATAATAATATAGAGCATTTGTAATGCGCCAAGTCCACATGACTCATGTGTTAAAGGCGCAATGGAGAAGAAAAACTACAAGTACATGAAAATACACAAAAATGGAAGAACAATGTTGAGGTAAATCAACTGGAAAGTCGCTTTGAACAAATGAGTTTTGAGGGCATTTTAAAAGCAATCTACACTTGAAATATGATGAATGATGTGGCAATTATAAAGATCCAGCATGTGCAAATGACTGAATATGTCTTAATATTTTTAATGGTTGATTTTTTAAAAGTAAGATTAAGAAATGTAAAGCATATGCGTATGTCACAATTGAAAAAAAAGATGCTATATGGTTAAAAGTGAGCAGTAGCATAGTACCGAAACTAACTCAATATGTTGTTTCTCTTCCACCCCATAGAACCAGAAGAGGCACCAAGGATAGCATACTCCAGCGGTCTGGTCGTCTCCCGTGGTAACCCGGCCGTGTTGGAGTGCGTCATCACCGGCGGTCACCCTGCATCCAGTAGGGTCAGGTGGGAGAAGGTGACCGGTGACCTCTCGTCGGAGGTCAGCGAGCGAGACGGTAGCCTGGTCATCCTTTCTGCTGCGGTTGAGGACGACGGTTTGTACGTCTGCATCGCGGAGTTCAACAGCGTTGAGGTGGACAGGCAACTGGTTACACTAGAAGTCACCAGTAAGTTGAAAGATTATTCTTCCCTTGTTTCAAACAGGGATGCCAGTTTTCAGGCAAAAGCCTGAATTCAGGCTCTGTTGATTTATTTTCAGGCCATAGTTTCAGCTTTTTTGTGTACAAGATAGCTCATTCTTGGTGATTGTCAGGCCCTCTGATCAATTCTAACTGGCATCTCTGTTCAAAACATTCAATGCTATCTTCTTTTTTTACATGAATGCTACGTCCAGGGAAACTTCAAAGGTCTATGGGTATTAAGAGGGGACATCGCATTGGTAACTTGCATGCATCAACAATTACAATACCTATAGAATCGACCTTTATGTAGAAATATATGGGATCCAACTAATTGCAAAGTTCTGGCAATATTATTTAAATACAAAGATGCCCTTGTTTGTTTTACAATTTTCATCAAATGGAGTGGGTCAAATAATACATTATAATCAAAACGGTGCTTATAAAGCAATTACCACTGAAGTCTGTAAGTGCTATAACAAACAAATAAAATGATAAACAATTACATATTTAACAAAACAATTACAAATAAACCTACAAATTACAATACATATAAAATATACATCAATGTGAACAGAGTAGGTTAATCATCAATGGCAACTTTCCTAATACTAGTATCCACGTTGCCAAATTCAGGTGAAAATAACTTTGCGGAATACTAACTAATGTGTCTATACACTTTTTCTGTTCTTGTTCTTTTTCAGAAGCGCCTTCTATCCGCACTGGTCCGACCGATGCTGTGGCTAGCATTGGAAATCCATCTCAGTTCAGCTGCTCCATCAGCCGTGCCTTGCCCGAGGATATCCAATGGTTACATAATGCTAAGAACATCAGGGTGGATGGCAACAAGTATTCACTCAATGGTAAGTATTATTTCTCTCTGGGATTGTTTTTTCTTTCTTGCCCCACAATGTTTCTCAAAAGTCAAGTGTACTTGTGATTTCTATGCATAGTATTAAAATAATAAATAATGATAATTCAAGCTTTTATAGCGTATTTCAGGACTGCAGGCCCTTTACATGTTATTACCCTACCTTCTTCTCCTTTTATTCTTTGGCTCCTTTGTAGTATATGACCATGCATTGTCTTTTTCTTGTTTTTATCTCCCTTGGAACTTTCCTTGCCTATTCTTATCTGTTTCCTCTTTCTTTGCTGAAGAAGAATCAATCTTTTACCACTTTGTATTGATGTAGATCTGGAATATTTAATTGGTAATTACTCGTGTGGTGGTGGTCCCCAGCTGAGCAGTGCCCAAATTATTTTTAATTTAGATTTAAAATGAAATTTTGATGGTATTTCTTCAAAATGCACAGCTATTGTTCATGCTTACATTCATGACTTTCTGCTGTACAGTGCACAAACTATAATTCATTTTCATCTTATGATGTTTTGATAATAACTTGTTTTCTTATCTTGTCTTAGGTCGTACACTGACTATCAATGCTGTAGGGCTGGAAGACCTTGGCATGTACCAATGTCTGGTAAACACAGAGGAAGGAAGCACGCAAGCTGCTGCTCAACTCAAGGTGTCAGGTAAGAAAGATTAGGATTTACCTCCTCCTCACACTTTCTGAGTGATGATTGGTACAGTCAAACCTGCTTTAGTGACCACCTGCCTACAAAGACCACATTTTTGTTTCCCTTGAAAATTGTTTCTCATTGATACATGTAATAAAGGAACCTGTCTACAAAGACCACATTTTTGTTTCCCTTGAAAATTGTTTCTCATTGATACATGTAATAAAGGAACCTGCCTACAAAGACCACACTTTTTGTTTCCCTTGTAAATTGTCTCTCATTGATACATGTAATAAAGGAACCTGTACATAAAGAGAACCTGTCTATAAAGACCACTTGTCATGTCTCCCTTGGGTGGTCTTTATAGACAGGTTTCACTGTATTAGCATACATGTCAAGAAAGCTGGAAGCATATTGATATCATTGTTGTGAAATTTGTTTCAAATTTGAATATTCTGGTAATAAATTATGCTTTCCACTTTTTCACAATCTCTGATTGATGATATGTAATAATTAAATTAATACATTCATGTCAGTATAAGCTGGAGGCATAATAATGCCATCATTGTTTTAACTGTGTTGTCAGTTTCAGTACTAAGATCAGTGAGGTGAATTGTCACACCTGTCAATCTTGGACATTAATTTGAAAGATCATATAATGATTATAATAATATGATCGAGTTTTCAAGGTATCCATTGAAGTGAAGAAGTAATTTAAATGCCTTAAAGCCCAGAATAAATTAGGTATGTGGCGAAGCATTAAAACTACTTCTCCATCCATATACTATTCAATGCTACGCTGCTCTTTATATCTAGCCAGTTTTTAAAAATATAAAAAGACTAACTTGCCACTTACTGCTTAAGATTCACTTCTTTTTATTGTTCCTCCTTCATTTAAACAGCTGGATTCCCCTCTGTTGTGGAGCCGCCCATGAACACCTCCGCCATCGAGGGGGAGATGGTGTACCTCTCCTGCCGGGTGAGGGGCGAACCATTACCCCTCGTAACTTGGGAGGATCCTAGGCATAGCTATGTGTTTAACACCGATAAAACCTTCATTTCAGAAGATTCAGGTAGGCATTGGGTAGTGGAAAATTCTGCTTGCATGTACATTGTAGTTTAATCCAGTCCAAACCAGTTCAACTCTGTCTTTACCAGTTTAAACCACTTGATGTCAATGATACTTTAATCCAGTCCAAACCAGTTGACGGTTCTACTCTGTCTTTACCAGTTTAAACCACTTGATGTCAATGATACATTGTAGTTTGATCCAGTCCAAACCAGTTCTACTCTGTCTTTACCAGTTTAAACCACTTGATGTCAATGATATAAAGAATTCAAGAAAATAAGGCTTAACTGTTTTCAACAATGATAAAACCAACAAGTTGATTCAATTTGTTCAAGCAAGGGGAAATATACAGAGTTTGGTTCGAAATGATGTCACAGCCAATTGATTTTCCCCATCCATAGTGTACAAAAAGCAATTACACTCTGGGAAAAATATGAATTAGGTGTTTTAACAAGGAGTATCAATTAAAAGTCAATTAGAAAAAACTTCTACACGCGTTGTACTGTATTCCCTAAATATGACATATGTCTGAAAGTAACTGATTAATGCAAACCGATCCGATATATTTATATTTTCTAAGTGATGTAATAATGCAAAAAACGGATTCATGTAGGCTTTTCATTCAACTAGTTCAGTCTTGCATTTGCTTCTTTCAAGGGAACATTGCGCAGACAAGTCTGAGCCAGTTCATGTACAGTTGTCTAATATTCTATCATGAAGAAATATTTTAACCCTTGCCCCATCTCTTGTTCTGTCTGTTGTCATTAGGAGGACTAACAGTGTTCAAGGTAGACCTGAATGATGTAGGCTGGTATACCTGCACCGTCTCAAACAAACATGGCGTGGTCAAATCATCGGCATACCTCTCTGTACTAGGTGAGTACTAGAATGAATACTGCTATAATAGCATTATAATGCTCCCCAGGGAGTGGAGAATGGGCATACATTGTGTGCGGGTAAGCCTGAAATCTGATACCATGGCAATGATATGTACTGCGCCTAGAAACAAAGTATTTGGCGCATTATAAATGTGAGCCGTTATTATTATTATTATACCATCAAGGACATCAATTTTAGAATGATGAAGCTATGACCGTTTGTGTTTCAGATGGGCAAATAGCGCTAATATGCTGATAATGCTGATTATGATGATGATGATGATGTAAGTGATGAAAATAGTGGTGATGATAAAGATGATGATGATCTTCTTCTTTTTTTTCCCACCTCACTTTTTGTCTAAAATGTGATACATTACAGAAAATTCATGCACCCATACAAATAGGAACTCAGGAAATTTGTGGATGGAAATATTGTTAAATTTTATTTTCTAAGCCTAGTTGTGTTTGAAAACAGTACTTTTATCTTATCTATTTGTTGCCAGTTTGGAAACGGTACAGTTAAACTTCTGTTAGTGTTGCTATTTATGACAATGTTGGGTATGGCAGATCTGAATCTAATACTTAGTTTTTGTAGCAAAACTACAGAGCTTACCTGTCAACCAACACTCATCTCCCCTCCATCACATACCAATGGACATAAGTTTAACAAAAAAGTTTGTTGATCCCGCCACATTTACATTTAATGTTTTTCAAGTCGTGTTCATTTCAACATTTTTCCTTTTACCTTCTTAATTTGATGTTTGTTTACTTGTTATACTTTATTTTTGTGTATAACTGTGTTTCTGTGTTTTTTTATGTAAATGTGTAAATTCAATTCAATTCAATTGCTCATCACTATTTCTGTATCCTTTCTTTTTTTACAGAGAGGGTAACGACCACCTCCACGACCCCTACCCAGGGGGTGATTGGTCCCCCTTTCTCTGGAGCTATCAGTGATTCCGGTATCACGACCATTGTGGATAGTACTGGAGAAGCCAGCATTAAACCAGGACCACGTAAGTTGGCAGATATAATAAATTGAAGTTTTATGATGGATTGAAAATAAGAGAATGCTAGAAAGTTTGACAAGTTGTATTGAAATGTTGAATGTTTCTTCCAATAACCTGCTCCACAGTGAGCTAAAATCAGGATTATATTTTTTTTCTTTTCTTCACTGTTTTCTTTCCATTTTCTTGCCCTTTTTCACTACTATGGCTTTCCATATTTTGTTGTAGCTCTTGAACCGCCAAGCAAACCTCAGGTCGTTAAGATCGCCAAGACATCGGTTGAGGTGAGCTGGACGTACAACAATGCCGGTAACAGTGCACCAATCACAGGCTTCACGGTACAGTACATTGACCTGAGGAGTATGGAAGGATGGAGAACCGCTTCCAACACCATCGGTCCTCAGCGCCGATCCTACCAAGTCACCAATCTAGAACCAAGCAAGATCTACAGGTACAATAATCCTCATTCATTTTGATCTGTCTCTCTGTTTTCCTCCTCTCTGTTTTCCTCCTTTCTGTATCCTCTCTCTCATTTTTTTTTCTCTTGCTCATCTTATGTGTTTATTGTCTCAGTCTCAATTCTTGCTCCTAATGTCTCACTTCTTTGTTTTTATTCTTGTTACTTGTTCAAAATGTATTTTCTTCTTTCCATTTTCCCCTTCTCTTTTCTCTCTCTCTTTCTCTCTGTTGTCCTTTTTCTGTTGATTCTGTCTGTTTCTTTATTTCTTTCTCTTTCTCTCTTTCATGTTTTTACTGTTACAAGTATTTGTACAATATTTCTCAGCTCTATTTAAACTTGAATACTCTTCCTCGATTATTCATTTCTAGGTCCATTTGAAAATAAAATTGAAAAAAAAAACGATTTGAAGTTTAGATATCTTTAACAAATACAGTCTACCTGCTTTAGCGACCACCTTAACAGAAAGACCACCTGTTTTCAAAGACCACACTTTTCCTTTTCCTTGAAAATGGTTTCTCATTGAAACATATACTAAAGGAACCTGCACATAAAGACCACCTGCCTATAAAGATCCACTTTTCTTGTCTCCTTAGGGGGGTCTTTATAGACAGGTTTCACTGTATTATTGAGTTATTAAGCAATTGAATAGAATTGGAACTATGACAATATTCATCTCCCTCATTGTTTCTATAGGTTCAGGGTAATTGCTTCAAATCGTTATGGAGAGAGTCCTCACAGCGAGATGTCCAATCGCAAACTTCTTGAGAGTGCCGTCCCTGTCGTCGCCCCGAAGAGGGCGCCAACGGTATCACCACGGATCATGGAATGCGTACCGGAGTCATCCACCACTATTAGAGTGGTGTGGGAGGTTAGTGGATCAAGTCTCGTTTGCAGTCATAGACCAGGGGGGTGTTTCACAAAACTTGTCATCAGTGACAAATGACAGTTCTTGTTATAAGGTAGTGAAATCCTTGCTTCTGATTGGTTATCAGCAGATTTGTCATTGGTTTTAGTCATTTGTCATTGCAAAAAGGCTTTGTGAAACGCCCCCCAAGGGTTGCCAATCAAATGTAACAGATTTTCAACAGAACCTTTTCACTAAATATGAGAGCAAATGTGTTTGAGATGTTGCGTTTCATGATGTTTCAGTAGATTATGCCAACATTCACGTAATACAGGAAATACATTTGTGAAAATCTCTTGAGGGAATTAGATACCAGCAAAGAAGATTGCGAGAGAGAGAGAGAGAGAGAGAGAGAGAGAGAGGGGCGAATGTATTAAGAGAGAAAGATATGGAAAGAGGGAAGACAGGATGAGAGAGTAAGAGACAGACAAAGAAAGAGGCTTGTGTATGTGTATGTTTGTTTGAGAGTGAGAGAGAGAGAGAGATGAAAAAAAAGTGACAGAGGGGAAAAGAAGGACAAAGAATGAAACTACGGGAGTTGTAATCTAGCATATTGAGAAAAATTCGTGTTTTGTAAACTTCTTTCAATTTAACAAGTTATCAAACATTTCCGAATGTTATTTCCTCCCTTCCAGTACCCCTCGACTCCTGGAATAACCAACGAGGAGACGGAAGGCTTTTATGTCTACATCCGTAACTTTGACAGCGACGACGACCGCGACTACGTGAGGACGCCCATCATCGGTGACTACGTCAGGAGCTATCTCATAGAGAAGCTTGAACCGGAAGAAAGCTATGATATCAAGGTTGAGAGTTTCAATAGCGCGGGGGAGAGTAAGGGGAGCAATGTCATCATCAGAAGTACCCTAGGTATGTTAGATTCTCTTTCTGCCCTCAGAACATTTTTTTTTTTTTTCTTGTCTTATCCTCAAGCAAGGTTTTTATTTCCATAATTTCAATACATATGTACATTAATTACTCAATGATTGAGTGAAACATACATAGGCTAAAATCAAAGTATATTCAACAATTCTTCCAGCTTAGTTTTATTATCTTTGCTATTAACACATTCATACCTTGAAAATAGTCTATTAGGAATAGACTTGAATTTAAAAAAACAAAGTATGTGTTTATTAATGTTGTTATTTACCTAGAAATAGAGAATCTTAATTAGAGAGTTATGATATATAAAGAGGTATAATTTATTTTTGTTTCAAATGCATTCAAACTATGCAATATCAAATGAGAATCAATCCTTTTAACATAGCAATGTCTAAACAATGTATAGGCCCAAACAGGCATGATAGATATCAATAATACAAGTACATATGTTTGACAACGGAATCTTTATTTATTAATCCCTGAAGTATCACCATGTTAAAGCAATCACATATTTTTGTGAGACAACTTTTCATCTTATAATATCATGATCCACAGTAAATGAAGAAGAATTGTCAATGATCTGGGCAGCTTTAATCATTGTAATGCTACACCTTTACGTAGGACGTATTGTGTACACTGTATGCAATCATCTTCCTTTTTTATATATTTGTGTATGTCCTACATTCTTGTACAACTAGTATATGCCAAAATTTCTATTTGTTATCCTAGAAAAATTCTATTTATTCAAAATTTATTCAAAATTCTATTTTATTTTAATTTATTCAAAATTCTATTTGTAATCCCTTTTTTCTATGCAGCCCGTGAGACGGAGCCCCCTCCCATCATCATACGCCCCTCCGTGCCCGGCCACCCGATGGACCTCAACCCCCACATCCCCTACATCGTCGACGACCCCACCCTGGCCCCTCCCCACCCCCCTCGGGGACAGAGTGAGGACATTCTCTACATCACCCTGGGGGTGGTGCTGGGGGCGATGTTACTCGTTCTCATCATGTTTGCTGTCATGTGCGTCTGGAGAGCGAAGCAAGTCAACAGGGACTCAAGTGAGTAGTGACCCGTTAAAGCCCCATTGCACTACCAGTGAAAAAAATACACCGAAATAGCCCCTGGAATGCCCAAAAGAGCCCTGTAAATTTGCATAGAGTTCAATGCAAAACAAATTTTAGAATGTTATTTTCATGCAGGAAAGCTTGAAAAGTTGCCCCCGAAAAAGAAATATTCATTTTTTACCTGTGCACTACTTGTAGCTACTTGCTCCCTCTTTATAGCAAACAATGCCTAAGCGGTACCTGCTGGTCCCCCATGATCCTCTTTTTCTTATGTTAATTGAGAGCTGATTTTATGAGATAACCACCTTGCAGGGAGGTCTAATCCCCCCTGGCAAAACTTGTCCAGACAGGATTTAAATAAGGAATACTGTTTCATGCATAGGACCTTTTTGCTTTTGCTAATTCTGGGTTTCCACTCCAAGTTCACTACCTTCACTCATAGTCATTTCAGTTTGTAGAATTTCTAAATTTTATGCTGAGATTTAAAAAGCATAATTTCTATTAAAACAGAAAATGTCCTTTTGGCTAAAAGCAGATAATGTGTTCAGGAAGCAGGAAAATTTAATGTAGAATTGCTAATATCTGTACTCATATTATTGTTCAATATTGAAGCTCTGTTTAATTTAGTTTTGCCAACGACAAATATTTTAACATTGGTATACACTACTGGCGAGAAAAAAAAAATTTGATGGTAATTATGGCATTCAGGTCAATGTATTCTCCTTAAATTGCTTCATTTAGTTAACCATTTCATATTACATGAAATTTCAGTAGCGCACTGCCTGGAATATACCAAGCACCATCGTAAGTTGGTTTATAACTTTTGTATTATTTTGGTGTTATTACAGATGGACCTGTTCACTGGAACAACCAGCCAATGTACGATGGTAGCTTTGCCTATCTGGAGGGTGCCAAGTATCCTTATGTGAACGGCAAGCTAAACAGTAACCACAGTGGGCCCAATGGAATGGCTGGCAGACACAACCCATACAGTGAAACCAATGGTGGATCCAAGCCCAGGCCTCTCTATACACTCCCTCAGGTATATATCGTAGGACCTTTCATATTTATTAAGTTTGGACAGTAGCTTAAGGCCTCCGTATATGCTCCTACAGATATGCATCATAGGACCTTTCATATTTATTAAGTTTGCCAGTAACAAGTATACTGCTAAATTAAGTGATTTTTAAGGTCTATCGAGACAAAGATTAACAAAGTGAGGAGAGTGTTCAGCTGTGATTTAAAAAAAATCAAATCAAATTTGATAGATATATATGTTATCCTCCTACTAGACAATGAGGGGGTTAACCATGATTCAGACAAATATGATTACCAAGGACCTGTCTTTTCATTCCCCGTTTTATGTAGGATACTTTGGGAGGTACCCCTTACATTCCTTGCGGTACCAGTAGCCTACACCATGACTCGGCGCCTGAGACGTCTACAGTACCATACGAAGACCACCAACTGTACACCACCGCCCCATCCACCAACCATCACAGTTACAACAGCCTAACCAATGGTAGCATTAGGAGCCACCATACGACGTCCAATCACGAGTTAGGCCATGCCCCACCAGCGGGAGTACCACCGGGGGCGCCACCACGGCCGGTGTGCCAGATACGGGTCAATCCACGGTTACAAAGGGAGGAGGCAGGAGTCGGAAACGGGAGGATAACAGTGCACGATCGGCCCAATAGGACCGAGGGCAGTAGAGAAGGCATAAATGGTAAGACATCAATTCTTCTTATTAAAGTAATTGAAACTGAAATCTGAATTTGAATTAAATTGAAAATTGGACTTGGTATTGGACCAGAATTGGTATCAGAATTGGAATTGGAATGGGAATTGGAATGGGAATTGGAGATGGAATATGTATTGGAATAGTCATTGAAATTGGAAATGAAAATTGGTGTCGGTATTGGAATTGGAAATGGAATGAGTATTGAAATTGGTAATGGAAAGATTATTAGAATTGGTATTGGAATTGGGATTGGAAATAAAACAAGTATTGGAATGGTTATTGGAACTGGTATTGGAATTGGAAAATTGAATTTGTATTGGAAATGGAAATGGAATTGGAATTGGATATGGAATGAGAATTGAAATTGGTATACAAATTTGTTCAAGATTGAGATGAAGGGATGTGCTATCAGTGACATTGTTTATTGATGTCGTTGATAGAGTCGATTAGGAAGGTCATTATTTCTCTTCTTTGTTTGTTTCTAGGTAAAGATACGGGGTCATTGACCCTCAGCTTACCCACAATGCCTCCTGATCTGTACGTCCACACACCGCCCTCGTTGTCCCCCACCCACTCGAGAGTCTGCTGTGAGGCTCACGTCCCTTCCAGGTCAAGATCGGCCTCCAGCCAATCAGAGGCTTCGTCTCAGCAAAGCTCCAACCAATCAGAGTCCACCTCCCATCATAGCTGCAACCAATCACAGCTGTCGTCACATCACAGTAGCAGCTCGAAAATTACCGATGTCTGATGCCCCGCCCTTTTTTTACCACCCTTCCCACCCATCCCTATTTTGTATGTTTACAAGTAACAATCAAACTGCCCCAAGTTTATGTATAGGATGTGTAGATGTCAATGCCAACCAGTTTAGCTTCAACCTTAGGTCAGTGAATTCTTTTCTTCTTCTTTCCCATTTTTGTATGGACTAGACTCAAGAGTACTTTATCCTGGGGTGCGTTTCACAAAGCCTTTTTTCAATGACAAAACTCAGTGACAATTCTGCTGATAACCAATCAGAAGCAAGGATTTCAGTAGCTTATAACAACAAATGTCATTTGTCGATGATGACAAGTTTTGTGAAACACCCCTCAGTTCTCCACTACAACGTCCTTTTGCCAGGCAATTGTTCAAAGAATCTTGTTATAGCAATTCCCTTCTCTATGTGAATCTCTTTTGCTGCATTAGGTGTTCCCATTTATATCTACACATCTTCCTACTGTGTGCCTTTGTATGCGTTTTTGTGTTTTGTACTGAAAAGTAATAATATTTTTCTGGGTATATATTTTTTAAATGAGAATTAAACCTGTACAGTACATAAAGTTGAAAGCTATTCATTAGATCGTTCTCATGCAAGAAAGAGAGATTATAATTTGTATTATGCTATAATGCAAAGTGCTGTATAAATGGTAATGTGTCGTTTTGTATATAAAATTATATTGAATGTTCGTAACACTTCTTTATGCCTGTACAATATCTACTCGGAGTCAGAAAGGCATTAACCCACTGCTACTGGCCCCAGTATTAAGCCAAGGGCAATGAGGTAATTCAGTTGTCAACTGGTTAATTAATGTCTTTCTGACTCTCAGCATAGATGTTGAATGTACTAGACTTTGTTGAATGAGTTTTAATGTACAAGAAGTGTTCATGTAAGCTTGGCAATCAGAAAAGGGTTTCAATGTGGATTAAAATATCCAAGAAGCGCGACAAATGAGAGGAGAAAATGCAGTTTCATTGATTATGAAAATGATTTTAATTTTTTATTTGAATACTGTAATGTTTTTATTGGCATTTTTACATGTTTGCATATTAAGCATGTATAGGTAAAACCATATATGTGGCTTTTTATGCACTTCATGAGTATTTCAGTGTAGATTTGAACACTTTAAAACTCAGATTACAGGCACGAAATAGAGAGCAAGAAAGTATGCAATTGATCAAGGACAAAGCGATCAGCTAATGCATGGCATTGCACATGTGGAAAAATGGTACATGCAGATGAACTGTTCAGGCCCGTTCAGATATGACACAACGCGGCATTTAAAAGAATGATGATGTAAAGTGTATTAGGCTTCACATTTCTATTTCTTATAACACAGAGCCCAGTGATAAACTTAGACTGGTGTTACCGCGCCATATCTGAACAAGCCTTTAAGCACAGTAAAAGTTTTAATGAGCCGATTCATTTTCCTGCTTTTGTAACTTCGCTTTTTATTTTTGCGCATTCTACCTCATTGTAACTTGTTTTTTGTGCCAGGAACCGAGAAAAACACTTTCGGGAATTTAAAAAAATGGCTCTTGTTTTTAAACTTTGAAATGCGTGGGTGGTAAGACCTGGGTAGATCTACACTGTAGTGTCCATATGATTATCATTGGGTGGTATTCTGGAAAGCGGACTAACTTTAGTCCATGGTTTAATCCACCGTCTAAGTATGGAATGCCAAGTGTCCATATGAATATTTTTTTGAGTTATTCAATCTATCACTAAATTAAAATCAAATGTAATAACATAATTAATAAACTACAATATAACTATGATATAATTATGTTATCATGGTAATTTAGGGACATATCAAATTATTCAAAATATATTCATATGAACACTTGGTATTTCATAGTTAGTTGGTGGATTAAAGTTAGTCCCCTTTCGAGAATACCACCCATTAATCTTCAAGGGAATGGTATTCATTAAAGGCCCTAAGCGATGAAAATGCAACTTTATATCATGGAAAGCTTAATGAACGTAGAAAACAAATATGATGGAGGAAAAATATTTTCCATTTCAGTATTGCACAAAAGCAATTTAAAACCTCATTTTACACTCCCCTCCAAATTTCAGGTCAACAGGGGTCAAATTTACTGCAGTTATGGTGACGACATAACATAGCTGATACTTAAAAAATGCAAAGTCATTGTGAATATGCGTACTCCACATAAGACGATGTCATCAAGTCAATAGCTAGTTTTTAGGTCGACAACTTCCGATTTTCGAAACCTCTGACAGGCACAAAAATATCACATAATTGATACTATTGTAATCCTTGGCGTATAAGCTTCTCGTTTATTTATAATTCATCTATTTAATTTTTCACTTTCAGCAGGGTCTTTGAATATAACAGTCGAAATATATCCAGTTATCCAGTCCAAAATAGCCAATAAATACCACATGTTATGCCTGTCTCTTTAAATTTAAATGTGCTTTTAAGAGTATTTTAATATTTTGAAAGATAATATGGAGCAAACACCATGAATGCTTATGTTTCTTTCAATCGTTTTCAATGTTATTTTACACTGCCTCGTAATACTGATATGATTTTGCTCTGAAATACGTTTAGATCTATTTTACCAGGAGGATTATTGAATGAAATCCATGTTTTCTATGCATAGCAATGAGAAAAGGTATGTACATTTTTTTTCAAGGTCATTTTCCTTTTACTCTGTGTATATTTTATAACATTCTTTTTACAACTTGTTTCTGTCAGGAAAGAAGAGGCATTGCATAGAGTGTGTATCAGACTGTTGTTTTTTAAGATGATATGCTTTTTTTAAACTGCCAAAAGATATTTCTGTTATCATCATTTGTATCACTCGCATATTGAAGTTTTTTTAACAATGTTATCATGACTTTAGTGAAGAATGATAACTATTTTTAGGATTCTTACATCCCTTCCTGCCACTTTATATTGACTTAAGTTGTAAGAATATAAAGAGTATTAGGTGGGGCTACATTTTCTAATGGTGCTTTTGCAAGTTTATTACTGTTTTCCATGTGAAGATTTGTCCAGATTAAAAAAAAAAAGTCTTCCTTGCTATCCTAATCTATAGCTCTTGCATATTTGAAAATGGTTTTGTCATGACCCTTTTAAAATACAAATTGTCACTCTTGTTATCGGTAAGGTCTGCTCAGCACTCTAGGCCTGTAAATTAGGCAGCTTAGCGAAATAAAGTGGCACAAAAGGTCACGTCCAGAACAAAAAAGCCGCAATAGTTAGGATATGGAGCAGGTAAATGCATATATTCTAAGATGTCAGCAATAAGATTTTTTCTCTCTTAATTCAAACCATACAAAACAAATGATTTTATGTGCTTCCAATGTATTCAGATCGTCCTTATATATGTCTCTCGTTTCTCTTCGTAAATATCATCAAATGAGTATTTCTATTTATACATATATTATGAAAACCTGTAAAAACCATTTCATTGAATACTGTTATGATGAATTGAAATAGAGAAATTGGTGTGTAATTAATATTAAATATAAACACATTAATTTCAATCGTAACATAATTGGTAGAATGTTTCGACACAGTCCGAGTATTGTGAATAAGTGAATATTCTTGCACACCAATAATTAACATCGAAATTCCCATTATTTTTGTTTAACTCTGCATTCAAGGTGATCTTGATACATTTGCTAAATATCTTGAAATAGAAGGCTCTGTGATAGAATTTAGGTTCAATGTAAAATGCATCATCTTGGAAAAACAAATTCTCTGTAATGCGGTCTTCTGTGAAATGTCAATCTGCTAGCTACGTTATCCCATATTCAAAAAGAATATGTTATACATTCTCTACCGCGCCTTGAAATCATACAGTTTTGATATTTTTAAATATTTTCAATCATTTACTTTAATAATCAGAATTGTATTCATTTTTTTTTTATCCTTGCCAAATCTCTACTCTATGTAGTGGAAATGGTGGAAATCTATGATCTATGTTAACATTTACATGTACATGTAAGATTATCAAGACAGAGAGAATTTGTCAATTCAGTTCAATCATTGACCTGCATGAAAAAAAGGGAATGAAGAAAACAAGGGATGAAGAGTTTGGTTGAGTTGAAACTTTAAAAAAATATATTGCCTTTTTCAGAATGAGTTTTTAGTCAATGTGAATGTCTTGAAAACTAAAAGAATATTTCCTTGTTAAACTGTCCAATTGGAAACGATAGCTATTCCTATGTTCTGTTATTGGGTTATCATGATCCCTTCTTCACCCAATTCATTTCTGCCTTCAATTAAATTTTTCTGGAAAATATGTCTAAAATAATTGCTTCGTCAAAAAATGTTACTTATAAGTGTAAGATCATATGCCCACTCTCACAGTAGTGAAGTAATACAGAGTAGTTTTCACAGGGTTTTATTTATTCTTCTGTTTTTTCTAATATTAAAACCATACTGTACTAGAGGCACTACTGCAAAATCCCCTCTAGCTCCATCTCAGGTCAGCTGTAGAAGTATGGTCCCGTTACTCGCTGCTTCCCTAGCTGCGCTGCTGGTTCTCACATCTAGTCCTCTGTCTATGAAGTGGAAATTACGCACTGTTGGCAAGTTGACCATGAGATGGCGCTGTGCAATAAACAGTACGCTAGGGCAGGAAGCTCATCCATTCAGTATCACTTTAAAATCTAGAGCCTTGTCTTATAGAGGGTTATGATTGATCTGAAGGTTTCGCAAGTCTTGAAAACATTAGCAAGATTACAATCTCTTTTCTCGTAATTAGACATTTGCGATTGAGTTTAAGTACCAATCAATCACAATTTTTTGTAGGACAGGGCCCACAGGTGGATTTTTTAAAATATAGCTGTAGTCCATGCCCACCTATTTGCAGAATTCGCTCTTCCATTTTGCCACGTTTTGCCATTTTCCACTGTGACCCTTTTTCAATGCATATTGCAATCAGTATATTTAGAATTGTTTAAAACATACAGTTTTCAGAAAATTTATCTACTTGTTTTTTAAATGAACTTATAAGAGGGAGGGGGGGGGGGGGGGCTTTGCAAATTCCCGTCCAAAATGGATGTAATTTTACACATATGTTGTGTACTACTAGAAGTTGTGAGGTTACTTTACCTAAGAGGAAAGATTATGTATGCAACAATTGTGATATTTTTGGTACATCAAGGACACCATTGAGAATTACAAAGGACGCTATTTAAAGAAAATCATGGATATTTGATTTTTTTTCTTATTTATCTATTTTATTTCTTATTTATTTATCTATTTTAAATTCCATTTTTTAAAAGAGCTAGGTAAAAGCATTTCCATTTAAAAGATGATAGCTTGTTATGTATAGGATACATAGAGCTTTTCTGTATTCAATGTTTGTATTTTCAGTTTACCTGAAGGAGAATAGGAGAGAAGATGCGTTTCTTATTGTTATAATTTTATTATTTGTATGTCTATGATGATGGTTGTGATGATGGTTGAAGATACAGTATTTTTAGTCACAAAGTGGTGACCGATTTGTTATATAAACAAAAACCTATCTCTGTATTCATTGAAAGTGTATTATAATGAATCTATATATATTTGTGATATAATGATGATAAAAATGTGACATGACACAAACATGCAAAAACTTATGAAAATGAAACACTGTTGTATTGGTGCATATTGTTTGTCTGGTGCAGCATTCTTGTGT